ATAATATTTCTCAAAACAAAATTGATGCGATTAAATCATAATATTAAAAACTAGACATTAACACTAACGCAAAAAGAAACAGAAATTCCTTACACCTCAGCCTAAAGGTATTCTTTCGGAATTACAAGTTTTTTCTTACTCGTTTTTCAACAATTTCCAATTTCTTAGCTTGTAATTAATATTTCTAAATCAACGACATTTTATAAATATTTATTTTCTTTTCATCCTTAATCCCTTAACATAAATGCTAGAAGGGTATCAAAAGATTTAATCTATATTCAAAAACGTTGAATGTAAATCTGTTTGTGCAGAAAGAAAGTAGACCCGCTAATTGGTGGAGCGCAGACGACAGGCGAAATGAAAAAGCTGCGGAGCACAAGCGACGCTGCATTAATTTACTTTTTCACCCGGCTTTTTTTATGGCGCAAGGTGCGTGCGACGAAAAATTAATCAAAGAGCCTCTAAACTGACGCAAAAAATCGTAATCAGGCCATGATAAAGGAATACGCGTTTTCACGCATAATTTGGGCTTATAGTTAGGACAAGATTTTTTGTGAGATCTTTCTTTTGAAGCGGACGCGTGGCACAAGGTGTCGTTTTACAGGTGCATGTTGATCTCAATTTTCCGCCGGACACAAGCGAGTGAGTGACCCCTGCAGCAAAATAGATCGCAGACGGTCAGTTAAAAAAATTAACTGCCCTCCTTGTCATTATGAAACATTAGTGCCAATTTCAAGACCGGTGGCAAGGTAAAGTTTCTACATTCTAATTTAATAAAGATATTTTTGCTTTTTTAATTTTAACAAAGTAAAAATTAAAACAATTTCTTATTAATTATTTAATTTTATAAATGTTGACAATTTATAATATAACATTTGTGCTAATTTATTTACATTTTGTTGCATTATTTCGAATTAAATTAGGTTTATTTCTAAAATAGTACATGCATTTAAATGGTTTGATGGATAAAAAAAATTTAATTTAATTTATGATACTTGATTTCTAATGTTTAATTATTCAGACAATTAATTTGCTCTGGGGCTCTGATATTATCAAAAATTGTGATCCTAACCAACAATAAATACAATGTGCGACCGTACATTTTTTATGTCGACCTTGCTTGTTTGAATTATACGCATATAGGCAAATATAGAACTTGAAATTATTGGCAGCAATCTAGGCTTCAGGCAAACAAGCACCTCCCAAATTGACGCCCGTCAGAATAATCTAGCAATTTATTAAGAAGATTCTCTCGGCTGTCGCGTCGAGAACAAGTAAACGCCGGCGGCCGTATTGGTTTTTGGCGTGTATCAAGTGGCACCTCATTTTCGCGGCTCTTCCCACGTAATCATCATCGTGCTGCTCGCTTTCAGGAATTGATTTCGGCGCGGCCGTAAAAGATAATTGACGAGTGGGGCACGTCGGTGGAAACACGATACAAGGAATTAACGCCAAGTACGCATTCGGAATATTTAATCCGGCTATAACGAGCTGCGGGCCAAACTTTGCTATATAAGTAAGTCTCCGCACCTAGCACTCAATTATTATTGCGCGCGACTCCGGCAAGGGATTGAATTCAATTTGCGTGTCTCAACCCTTCTACGCTTCTTCCAACTTGATTGAGCTCAATTCCATTAAATCTCGGAATGTTGGCAGGGTAGTCCTTTCTTGCGGTTTAATTTTGACGATCGATTCTCCAAAAAGTTGATTGAAGAGACGTTTGAATGTCACTTTGATTTTTATAAACAAAGCGGTAATTGCAATTAGTGCAGTCATCATAGTGGAATTTTTCCCTTGGCTTAAATGTAAAATAAAATAATATAAAATTTGTATGTCATTAATGAATTCGAAGCACAATAAATTCATAAATTTCTGAAATTATAAATTTTTGGACAAATTCAGATTTTGATGAACTCTCCAATTATGCAATGCTCACTCATGCCAAAATGTTGAAGGTATAGAAAATACAAATCAAATTTTTTATTTTTGAACCAGCGCTATATGAAAAATAGACTAAAAATTTAAAAATTATTAAAAAAGGTTGCAAAATTGGCAGTTTTTCATGAATTATATTGCTAAAAAAAATTGATGTCTTAATAAAGGTGGATTTCAGCTGCATCTAGCATCCTCAGAGGATAAAATAAATTGCAAATGAAGACTCAATTTTCAAAAATGTTTTGACGATGATAAGTGCTCCAAAAAACCTGCTGGTCCAGATGCTGGAGTGATATATTTGACAAAAAATAATTATGCTAGGAATTTACATTTGTGACCCACTGTGAGCAATGCACGAAAACGCAAATAAATTCATTTTATGTGTCAAGTAGTGTGACAAAAATCCTAATTAATAGCTTTATCTCTAGATTATCCTTCTCAAGCTGTAACTGGCTATGATATGAGATTTAACAATGTCAATAAGGATTTATCAGTTTTATCAAGCGAATACACGTCTAATTTTTCCGTTATGTTTAAAAAAATCTCGGTGAACAGGAAGTTCGCACCAACATCAATAATTTTGATATGACAACGTTGTTGCAGCAGTTTATTAGGGATTTCACCTTAATTAATATACTTTACCAAAGTGCAAAAGGCCATTGTAATAAATATTCCGCACCTAAATTTTCCTAAAAAAAAACATCGCTGAATTTATAATTGTACTAATCTAAAATACAATCTTGTATCACGCTCGCACTGCGGCTTTTGCACTTGCAGCAGGACTTGCAAATTGAGTGTCTGTGCAAGCTTGCAATTCACAAACGAGTTGCGGTCGCGGACGCTCTCTATGTGGGAAATTCTAACAAGGAAGCTGTCACCTTACGCCTGTACCACGTGACGGATGTAGCGTACTTGGCTAATGAGAACCAGTGAATCAGCAAATTGGACTTCAATTGACTGCAAAATGCAGCGCAGAGTTATAATTAACGCTTTGAAACTGATCCGCTTCATGACCTTTGATTCGGTGCAATTTGCAAAATTGTGCACATCTTCATGTGCCCAGATTTTGACCGACAAAGAAAAGCTGGAGATTTTCTTGAGCATTAACTTGGCTGACAAAAAACTGCTGCCAGAAAATTTCTCCAAGTGTCGGCATTTCCGCAATCTTGACCTGAACATTGATAGATATTGCATTCCAATAGTAAATGGATCACTTATTGACGTCACTTGTTCCAAAAGCGAGTCGGTACTCAAATTTGTGAGTGGGAACAGCAAATTTTACTTGACGGGCGTGCAGCTCTACAGTTTGCATGAAAATGCCGATGGAGCCCAAATTCCTGAAATCGATTTGATTTGCAAAGTTACTGAGGCTTCCTTGAAAAAGGCAGTTGTTTCTGTTGCCTACAAAGGGGCCTGCAATTTCCCTAAACAGAAATACCTGAAACTGCCTCGTGAGGTGCGCATAAAGAAAAATGTCATTTACACTCTCACTGTTGAATACTTTCAGACAAATGCTGTTCCCTCAAAGAGCTACACACTAGATAACAATAGGGTTTTGGCCAAGCAAGCAAAGCTAAATTTGTCTTTTCCATTTGCTGCAAATTTAGTGACAGACTTCCAAGCTCTCTGTTTTACTAAAGTTGCTTGAATTTATCAGTTTTCTACCATTTATTTCATTTTATTTTCATTTTTAATAAAGTTGGGTTAAAGTTTTATAAAAATATTGCGCTTTTATTACTTTATTTTCCTTTTCATTTACTTCATTTAGAAAAAAATGTCGGTTTTTAGTTATACAAAAAATAAAATTCGCATGTAGTCATTTTGAACAGAATTTGTGGAATAATTTTTTCATTTTTAAATACTGAAAGCGCTTATATTCTATTGTTTCAACAAACCTGCTCCTTTTCACATAGGCTGTCTAAAATTTTACGTTTTTTCAGCAAAATGATGACTTTCGTTTCAGTTCTTGTTGTTTTTAAACTATCACCTATAAACAAAATTAAAATTGGCAGGTTATTTGAACATAAATATTGAAAGCCGGCAGACAATTTTCAGAAGAAAAAATATGTAAAAATACGATTTTTTTTAAATTCATAAAAAAATAACACTAATAATAACAATAATTGGGACGTTCAAAATTAATAAACGATTTATTTTTCTCGACATGTTTTCAGCCCCCCAATAAAAATTGTCAATATTATGCTAATTTTCTCTGGGGCACTTCAAGCGTAATTTCGCCCCCATATATGCGTCAGTTGTTAATCTCTCCCTTTGCGCAACGGAAATTATAGCGAGAAACTGGCAAACGCACACATTAGCCCAAAACTCTACCCTCTAATCGAGTCGCTGGCGGTGCAAATTTGCGCATAGCACACACATGCGTAAAAGGCGCCCCAGCAAACAATTAAACTGCGGCTGCTTTCGCTCTTTGCACCTGTGAGTGTGCGATGCGACCAAAAAGTTGATGAGTCTAATTTATTTGGAGCGGCAAAATTGCGGCCGCAAGTTGAGCAGCAGGGGAATTAACGGAGGGAAATTTATTCACTCACTTAAGTCTGCCGGTGCAACGTCGACTATTTGAGAAAGAGAGATAAGAGGAAAGTAGCATTCGCAGCGCACGTCTCAATGACTTTATCTGCTGAGGTAATGAATGACTTCCAAGTCAAGGAGAGGTCAATTTACTTATCTCTCTTTGAGTTATTATAAATAGTGAGCAGTTAAGTTATAAATGAGCAATTAAACTTCTGTTTCAACAACTTTTTATTGAATTCTGTGTTAGTAGTAGAGACAAAGATAATATTTTCATAAATTGTATCTGAAATGTTTATTTCGGTTTATTTAAAAAATTAGTTTACTATTCCTTTTTTCTTTTACTAATATATTGATTTATTCCTCATTAATTATGTATTAGAAGTATGCATTGAAAACTTACACAAATGTGATAAAAAAATTAATCAATTTCAAATTTTCAGCAGTTGACACTTTTTTATTTTCTTTTATAGCATTGCTTACTTTGTGATAAAACGCATATGAATTTTGAAACTATGTATATCGTATGTTACATTAAAATCTGGCTTAGAAACTAAAAAAAAAATTATATGAAAAACTACTTTATTCCTAATGTATTACTTTCAAAGGAAGTCAGACTCTCAGTCATAGAAAAAATGTCAGCTTTGCAGTTTGTTTTAGCAAAAGTAAACTCTATCTTGGCTGAATCATAGTCGACGTATACACACTCCTTAGAGGGGTCTGTCGACGGTTCTCCTTTTGCCCATTTAATGTAGGAGTCCTGGACCAACGAATTGTCCAGGTAGTTGCACCACCTTATCGAATTCACGCATCCTAGTGAAGTTGCCGAAACGTAAAATCTATTGTTGGTTATATTGTAGACTGAAAAAATTTTCATGGATAAACAAACAAAGCGAGACATAAATTGTGAAGTGCAACTTTTAAAAAGTTCTAAGACGCAATCTAGTTTTTCTCTACTCTCAAAAGACACTAATTTGTATTTGTAGAAATCCCCACATGCCCATTTCGCACTTTGGTAATAAGAAAACTGGAATATGCAAATTATATAGTTTTTCAAATCCTGACTTTCCCATCGAGTTACCTTATTTTTGGGTGTTCCAAAGCAAGCAACGAACTCTCTTTTACATCCTTTCAAAACCACGCAACCCGACCTGTAAAAACCTGGAATCCAAACACAAGAAAAAAAATGCAAGTTATTTGTTAGCTTTTGAAAGGTTGACATATATTTTGAAGAAATAGAGATCTAAAAAATGTACCTGTGAATTCCGTGTTTCTCTTTACCTTTGAATATTGCATTAAATTGTGAAATTAATTTCATTTTTCATACAAACTTCAATTTTGCATCCAACAGGGAAGCACGACGAACTTTTACACAGTGATGGGATGGGTCGCTGCATATAAAGAGCGCATTAAACTATTAACTCTTTGCTAGTAGCGCATGTATCTTTGGTAACTTGCCTTGCAAAGCGCCCTTTTCGTCCCCAAGCCATCCTCGAATTCCCAAGAGAGCGAAACATTGGGGGTGGCCATCGGCTTAACTCCAACAAACGGACTTGTCGCTTTCCATGGAAGGTAACTTTGGTCCACAATTTCTGGACTCTCTGAGCACCAAACAAATGTGTTTGGGCACGTGGTGAGGCGAGCGGATGTCCAATATGAGGCGCCTGTCGTGTTCCGTCCTTCAATGTTTTCATCGTGTGGAATAACGTGGCATTGGAAATTAATATAAAATAAACGAAATAAACCTTACTGGCCGATTCGTTGGCAAAACACGTCAATTCTTCAACGGTTGTAAAACTTGCCACCTCCATGTTTTTTAGGCAGCAGAACGTTTGCGAAGCCTTTAAAGAGTACTGCAATAAAAATTAACATGCAATTAAAATCAAAAGGAGCTATTTTTTAATATCTGAACCTTAGATATTTTGGAGAAAAAGTACTCAAAACCACACATTTGAACCAAGTCTCCGTCATTTTGTACTAAAAACGTCAATAATTAACAAACAGATATGGAAAAAAATTTTGTTCTAAGGTAAAATTCTCACATATTCCAAACTTCTCAGCAGGCTTAGCAATAATTTAGATTTTCTTCAACCAAAATTACAAAATAGGGTGCGAGTGTTACCTCCTCAGAACAATCTACTTTTGTGCAGTTAGCATCACAATCTTCAGCCCTCTAAAAAATACAATAATTTAATTCATGATCACTTAATTTATTTCTATTTTCAAACCACAGTGGCGCAATTTCCATTCAAGCATTTGGAGCTGCATTTGTTCAAATGACAAATTTCAGGTAGGGTGCAGACAAAGTTGTTTTCATTGGAACAGCTCTCGTTTTTTATTACGACGATATTGTTTTGTCTGTAGTTGATGATTAAATATTTTTTCTTTCCATTGTTTAAATCCCATACTTGTGAAAAATAGTGCATACAATTCCAGGAGTTTTGAATTGTGGATCGGACTTATTTTTTGCTATCTGCTCGTAGGTCGCCCATACTTTGATATCGGTTAAACCTGCGAAGACCAATTTTAATTTTTCAAGTTGTACCCCATTCGGTTAAGTAACCATTTGTGATTTTTTCAAGTATAGAACTTTCATTGATGCCAAAATTTAGACCTTGCCTGGCACAAAATCTTTCAGCCTTGTACTTGCTCGCCTGGATTTTATTATATTATTATTTTTTTTTAATAAAATAATGTTTTCTAACCTTCACAAACAGTGGGAAATAAAATAGCGGCAAGTCCCCATCCTGATTTAATTCCAGTCCCCTTACTGAAAAATAATTGAACATCTTGCAGTAAAAATTCCACAAACTGATTCACTTACTTTTTGATTTGCAGAACGAAGCCACGTACCTCTTCTGGAAAATATGTAAAGCATTTTTTTTTTTTTTTTTTTTAGTAAATACCTCTTTCTGGCAGTCAATTATGCGTCTGGATGGTGAATAAACGCGCTCTAATAATTTCGGTTTTTGAGAAGCATCGTCTGTGGTAATTTCTTGTGCAGAACTGCACTTTGAAATGCATTGATAGAGGCTGTCTGAAGTTCTCCATAAAAAGTCAGATTCTATGCAAAATCCTTTAATTTTTGCTAATGATTAATGAATAAATTCGCTTACTTTCAAAATATTCGGATGATATTTCACAAACACTCTGATTATGTCGGCCTGGAATCTTTAAACAAATTTTAATCTCATTCATGAAAAGACTGAAATGTACAAGAAAAAAAATACCAAAGAAAAAATTAGGTACGCCAGCAATGATAGTGCTGATTGATTCATCATTTCAGATATATACTGCGTCCAAAAGCTATAGAACTTAACCGTTGAATGTTGCTGCGGAAAGGTCTGCAGAGGAAATGGAATGATGGCATGATGACGTAATTGCTTTGTTTTTTTTTTGTCTATCTGGTATTTATCAGTGAACGGGTTTGTGATTCAAAATGAAGCGAATTATGAAAATAATATTTTTCATATTTAATTTATTGGAACTTGAAATTAATTTACACAAAAAATGAAGCAGGTAGAAAATAAATTTTTCATAATTATAATTCAATGATGTCAATGATCTTTTTTAAAACGCTGAATTATAATGTTTATCATTATTCATGGCAGTATTATTTTTCAAATTTTGCCCAAAATGCACTCATCTTTGTTATTTGTTATTTTTATACCGTTTAAAAATTCATAATAATCTATAAGTCAAAATTTTTCCCCGTCAATTGGAGTTTTTGCTTGCTTTTTAAGTTATAGAAAAAATTGCTCACCTCTGTCCCACTATGTCCATGAATATGATGGAAATTAGCTGCTAATTAGCAATAAATAGCATATTAATAATAAACATTCATTTTTTGTTTTTAACGAGATAACTTGTGATGATCAAACTTCTCTGCAAAATAGAGACATTAAAACGCCAGTTATAAAATGGATTAAAAGCAATTTGTCGCGTTGAAAAAAGGCCGCCGGGTCGTTAATTAATTGAATCATCGAGCAAACTTTATTGCCTTATTCCATTAGAAAGACTGTTTTTAATGTGAAATTGGGCCATTCAATTTTGCTCTATGCAAATTTTTAACAATTTATGGTTTAGCCGCATCCAATTAGCTTTTGTGGAAAGGTGCAAAAACCTCATAAATTTGGCTGTAGGTCTTAATTCTACGGCAAATTAATTAAATTATATTAGACCTGGATAAGACGAAGTTTTTATTAAGCCAAGGTTATCAATAAAATTGACTCCACTCCTCTATAGCAGATCCACCGAAAAATTATTTTGAGCTAGATTCCATGGATTCCATTGCTCTAAAGGTAAATTTCCTTGCTAAATACGGTAAAATCCACATGAATTAATTTGTTTTACTTCAGTATCACGAAATGGAAAATTTTAGAAAATTTATATCATACTTTTTAACGAAAACATTACAAGTTACAAAAAAAAAAATGAAATAAAATTGGTTCATGCCAAATTTAGATGCTAAAAATTTGCATTTAACAATTTTTTCTATTGACGAGTTGCGTTTCCTCCCAGTATATAGCGGATTAAAAATAAATTGTCGATATGGATTAATAATGACAAGTATTCAAAACTCTCGAACACAGTCCTTGAGCCTGCGTCATTATGGTTATATTGATTGCTATCAAGTTCAGGTCAGTAGAACTGGACTGAGTACATACGAAAATTGAATACCAGCATATTATGAGGGTGGGTCGTGGGTCTTTTGCAATTGCGATTTGTATAGAGATGAATATGTGCCTAAATCCGGCCGGTCAGCAAATCTGGCACAGAGCCCACTAGCAAACACACTTCACTCCGACATCGCCCGCAGCAACCCCATTCGATCGAAGTTATATTGAGCTCTATTTGCGTTTCGCTAACAAGAATTTAATTACCATTGAAACGCGAGTAAATGACGCTGAAGAGAAAATAATAACTAACTGCAAAGACCTGCCCTAACTTGGCAAAGACCACCCAGCTCGAAGCTCGCGGATTTGCTACGAAGTCTATTTTTTGCCTCGAATGCTGCTCTAAATAAATCTTTGCAAGCGCAGCGAGGAAACAACAAAGGAAAAAGGCTTCACTTAAAAAGAGCAGTAGCGCCGCGAGTGCCTCGGGCAATTTGAGTTGGGAATAATTACAAAGCGTGCAAATTTATTTTGATTTTGGAGATTTCCATGAAGAGGCGAGAGGGTTGTAAAAACAAGAGTAGCGTCAAACAAAGGCTATATTATTATACTCTTGACGCGTGTGCTGCTCTAATTAATATTATCGACATTAACAAAAACTTCATACAAAATTACATAAAGGGGCAAGTTAACAAAAGCATGGCAAAATAAAGTGCGTCAGATATTTCGCATGTTGCAGCCCCAACATGACATTTGGCGTCCTGGCTCCAACGCAATATTCTTAAAAGATAATCCATGTTGATTTTTTCAAATATGGTAGAAAGGATGAAGATGATGGGATACGTTAGAATAAAAGTTCTACTCGTTAAAAATTGATAAACAATCGTTTGACAAAATTTTTTCTAGATTAATTATCTGCAGATAAACTTAAATATATTAATAAACAATAATTAAATAATCAAAACAGTTGTAATTATTTTAGTTTACTTTTTCATTACTTGTTACAAATTCCTACGAATTTCGTAAGAATAAAATTGGATATATTAACATCATTGTATTCCTTACAAGTCTTTCCAAATCTACATAGTTTTAATATAAATTTTGACTATAATTATGTGCAGAGTACTTTAATTGCGTTATTAAATTTCTTATTGGATTATCATAAACTTAAATTTGAGTAAATTGTGTGGAGTTTCTTAGGGTATCATATAGACGCGTCTGGTGTTGATAAAAAAGGAAAGATTGTTTTTTAATCATGGTTTTTAAAAAAAAAAAAAAAAAAAATATAATGTGGATCATTTAGAAACTGAGCGAAAAAACCAAAACTCGGAATACAGGAATTAAAATATCCATCTTATGCACATTTCAAGTCTCTCGCACTCCCTTAACGCGGATCTTTTTATGGCTTAAAATATCCAGTTTTTTGTATAATCGGCAACGTGTAAATACAAAAAGTTGGCCGTCAAACGCGTTGGGGGCTAAAACATAGGGATGCGATCTGAAGAAGAATTCTGAGAAATAATTAATTAAATTCCTATTTCAACCCCACTGAGGGTTAGCGAGAAGAAATTACTCAGCCAATTTTCCACTCGTCAAGCGTGTATTTAAATTTATTCAAAATTTATATAACACTTAAAACAACCCTTATTGAAGGCGGCCTCGTTTTGACGGGTTTTATATTGATTGATTTGTCAGTTGCCTTCTTTTGAGTCGTTTTTTGCTTATTATGCATTCAATTTGGTGGTAAACCTTCCAGGAATTGCGATCGAAGGTTGAGCAAAAACACTCTCACTCCTTTCCTGCCAGAGGAGCGTTAAAGGGTGGCTCTTTGTGTGTGTTTTGTTAAACATTACACACGGTTATTGTTCTTTCATTTGCGTACGGCTCTTTTGTTGCCCTCTCTTTTCACATAATTTGTTCTGCTCTGTAATAACATCTCTCTCGCTCATTCTTTGGCAGCGCACCATCATTTTTCTGACTAATTAGAGTTTTGATAGGTGAAACATTTTGGTACAAAGAGAACAAAGGAAATGGGAATAATTATTATAAATTTACAAAATATTATCAGGCAGTTCTATTTTTAGAATAATATTCTATTATTTTATAACATTGAATACGAGAAGGAATTATTTTAGTATAAAACAGCAGTTCCACGGATTATAAGTTTATGTCGTTAAGTTTTAGAAGTTTTTTATGGTAATAGGTTGCCTAAAATAAATTCAAAGATAAAAGATTTTAATTTCAAATTTTGCAGATAATATATATTTAAACGCTTTTTAACAAAAACCAAAAGAATCTTAATTGGGTTTCTTTTGTATTCAAAAAAACAAAAAATATTAAGTATTTAAATTCAAAAAATTAATGGGGTAGTTTTTTTAATTTTTATACTTTGAGCAGAAACAGTTCTCATTATATTATATATGAAATTTTGAAAACTCCTCTTTGTATTATATAAAATTTTATAATTTTAATCTGTAATCTTTAAGGCAGTATAAACTTGAATGATTGTTTTCTTATCAAATGAAAGTGTTCAATATTCGTTTTAAAAGCAATTATCAGCCCTGTTTAACAAAGCATTAATATTCATTGCGTGCTGCAGACTAACATCTATAGGACATTGATTAGATTTGGGGTTGCCTTCTTTGAGATTAGTATCAAATTATCGCACGCCATTAATTGCAAATTGAAAACTAATCAGTGGACAGAACGGCAGACTCGATCAATAATCAGATAGGCGCCGCAGCAAGTGTTTGAATTTGCACCTCCTTGTTGATACACCGGCTGATCTCGTTAAAACTGCGAACAATCTAATCTGCAAACACCACAAATTGTGTTTTTATCTGATTATTACTCATGTAGATCATAATTTTGTATTGGTTCAAGGATTTTAGTTTATTAACAAATTAAACTTTTTTTAGTTACAAATACTTTTAACTGAAAATTCTAATGCTGATTGAGTGAGATTGTACTAATTTATTTTCTGTTATTTCCAATCACTTGATTGCTTCTGAGGGAGAGAAATTTGATTTAATTTAAATTACTTTGGAAAGTTAAGAAAATATTATTATTTTTCTTAATTCATTAAAATATTTGGTTATAACTTGTTGGGACAAAATATTTCAATTGGTAAAAATAGTACAAAGCCTGTACAAGATATTTTATTTGTTTAACCATTTAAATACGAGAACCGCTAAAATATTATATTTTTAAATTCAGACTAAAGGGCGAAGCAATTTTTAGGTTTGACCTACCATAAAAATCGTTTGTGCCCACCACCTGACCTCTGAAAGCAAAATATCTGGCAGCGGTGGGATTCGAACCCACGCCCCCGAAGAGACTGGTGCCTTAAACCAGCGCCTTAGACCGCTCGGCCACGCTACCATGTTATTTGCATCACAAGTGAAGCCTCGGTCGTATCTTCGTAATCTAAATTTGGGTTCGGACGCACTTTGAACTTCATGCTCTTCGTTCTAAAGATATAAAAAAATAACTCATAAAATCATATTTAATTTAAAAAATGTTTTTTCTTGTAATTCAAAAAAAAATATTCAAGACAAAAAGTTTGATTTAAGATTAAACTAAACTTTCTTAAATTTATTTTCCATCACATTTATATTCACACTTTAAAATTTTTGAATTTTCGGCCTTAATTATAAAAATTTGAGACATGAAAACATCAACAAATTTCACATTTTTACACAAAAATGATAAAAATATTAGTGTGAAAGATGCTGGAAGACGACAATTATAATGCGCTCTTAATTACACCTTTGGAATCCCCATTCAATCAAGTGTGGAATTTGTTCCACTTGCCATGAGAGGAAGCAAATTAGATTAAAGCATTGAGATGTTAATTTCCAGCAGCGTTGAGTAAAAAATCACACCGCGACTCATGTTCAGCTGCTGTGATATTTTAACCAAATTGCTGTAATTTGCATATCACCAAATTAGTGAGGGCATATTTTGTTGCAAATGAAAAAAGGCCACCGGCTAGGCGCTACTAGGCGTACGCGTAAAAAATTGGGTCATAACTCGGACTTGGTCCGAGAGAAAGATGATACGTGTAAAATAACATTGCAGGTAATGACGGTGGTCAGTTTTATTAAGTGCCGTCGCCCATTTCGTGCTCGCCGAAAAACGCCGTTGCGGTCATTACCGCGCTGATTA